ATTGATTGGTGGGGAAGGGGTCACCCTTCCCCACCAATCAAGCACACACACACACACACACACGAAAAATTAAAATTTCCTTTTTTATTACGTTTTTTTTTTAATTGAAATGCGTAATTTTTTGTTTTCTATTTTAAGAAAATAAGAAAACACTTGTAAAAAAAAAACAAAAATCATCGTTTTGTAGGTCTCTTCAAACCCTACAACCCCTTTTTTTTTTTTTTTTTTTGGTCCATTAGTTTTTTTTTTTTAAATGTTTGAAATTCTCGACCGCATTAACCTCAGGGGCCGACCTCAGCGGTCGGGATCCCGACCGCTGGCCGAGATTGACCCCGCGGTCATGACCGCGGGGGATACATAGCTGCAGAGCCCTCCCTCCCTTCATCATCTCTTCTTTTTGCATCGACGGCCCCGACCCTTCTAAACCCAGTGCTGCGTCGTCTGTCGTTTTCCTTTCTGCTGCTGGAGGTCAACCCTGTCCGTCCTCGACGTCCTTCTCCCCTCCCTTGCGCCTCCTTGCTGTACTCCCCCATCCGCTGCGGCCCCTTGTTGTACAGATTGCTCCCGCCCCCCAATTCCCAGCACTGCGAAACGGTTAGTGTCCCGAGCCGGGTTCTCCTTGTTTACTTTTTCATAAGATTTTTTTCGATATTTCAGGGTCGGGTTCGGGGTCTTTCCTGTTGTTTTTTTCGGGGGGATTACTTGCCATGTCTCTCCAACCTCCGTTCCATTGAGGAAGGCTTCTTGTCTTGGTTCCTGTGTATTTCTGGAATCGGGGGTGCCCTGAAAATGTTGTTGTGTTCCCATGGGGGTGACCAGTGGTCAGGGGGTTTGCTTCCCAAGTCAACCTCTTTTTTCTTTTTTCATTCCCACCCCCTTATTCCTCCCTGCGCATTGACTTCATCTATATAAACCCAACCCTCGTGGCCCGGATCAAATGTCCGCCAGTGCGTAGCCCGAAAAGGGTCACGAAGTAGGCGACCAGTGGTCTTCATGCGTCCGGCAAGATGGTGGGGGCAATTGGTATCTGCGACTGCGTGGCCATACTGTTGGCATTTAAAACACCACGACCGACGTTTGTGGACCATGTGGATTTTAAAGTCCTTTCCCCTGATTCGAAATGGGATCACATCGTCAAATTGAATCTGAAAAATATAATCCTCTGGCAGATTTAGTGCCAACATCAAATAATCATCCCAAGGCACGACATAAGCTGGGAGTGGCTCTATAAAGTCAACGATATCGTATTTTTGTGCCAGGTCCTGAATGAACGCCGCCTGGATTTCAATCGGGACGTGTCTGTATTGAACCCAATAGTAATCTGCCATGAGCTGATCTCGATTTTCCTCCCTGCTTTGTTGTTTTTGCGGTGACCACGGGTAGATTCTAACTTCGGACCGGTCGCAGCGCACGCTGCGCCACGAGTCCATCAGTCTTTTATCCGCATCGAACGTGTCAATCACGGTAAATACTGTCGACGAAATTGGCTGTATCAGGAAATAATCCCGGGCCCCTTCCTCACTTCCTTTGAGGGCTGCGAGTCTTTTCCTGATCCAGCCAATTTTGTCGTTGGCGGACTTGTATGCGGCTTCGTCATAAAAAACCCAGTTACTTCCGTGGCGTGTGTACAGTTCGTCTCGTTCGCGGATTTTGTCTGGCGGCAGAGTTTTGACTTGGAGCTTTTTGCCCCCTTGGTGAACCAAGCGGTCCCCTGATTTGGTGAGCAGCCTAGAGAGAAAGTAAGCACTCGCAGTCACCGGACTCTCCTTCTCCTCGCTGGATTTTCAAGGATTTGCCACTGTACATACGTTTCACCTTGCCTGCCCAGGATGATGAAGAAGAGCCCAAAGTCCCCTGTGATTCTACCCGTTCTTTGGTGGCTTGTGTTTCTCTTAGGAGCTGCGCTGATGAGCCTGTCTCCTCATACTGTTGTTGCTCACCGGGGTGTGTCATGGTTGTGTCCTGTTGCTGTTGCGATTCATGACCAATCTTCTTTCACTCCAAACGAAATGTCATTTTTCATACCCTGGAATATCACTAAGACCCCATGTCGTCGCAGGTATTCCACTGTGACCCCGGAGGCTCTTTCGTCAATATCCACAACAACAGTGTTGTTCGGCTCATCACGGGTGGTAGCAATGTATTTATCGGCTATATTTGGCTCTTCTTGCCTAGTCAAAAAACACCTATGGCCCTACGGGCCATGTCGCAAAGTTGGTTGTGTTGGGGATCCATTGTTTACAATGATAGCCAAGAGAGGAGAAGAAAGAATTATAAAAAAGAGGACCGCAGCTATCGTGGCCGAACTTACACGTATCCAAATCCAAATTTGCCAATAGGTAAAAGGAGACGTAATTTGAAACGAAGAAGGACAATTGCACTTAGAAGGAGAATCGCACTTAGTTCAATGAAGATAAAAGGGTTGATGAAGGAAAACTACACGTCGTTCAACAAATATAAAAGAAAAGGGAAAGAAATCGATAACATTCATCGAAAACAGCCATGAGATTATTTTATCACGGGTAAAGGAAGGTGAAAAACGAACAGGGTTCCAATTAGTATAGAGATGTCAGTCAGGGTCCCAATTTGTATAGAAATGTCAGTCATGCAATCATCAAAGAAGAGAGATCAAACAAGAGAACAGTTCTCAAAAACCAAAACACACAAAAAAACCATACAGCTCCAAAGCACAGTGGTGAGCGGCATCCCCAGAGATAGACTATGTCCTAGAAGACGTTCCTGTTCCGATGGAATAACTACTCGAAGGCTACGAATCTTCCTTGGCGCCGGCCATCCGCGGACAAGTCCGCGGCCGCGGCCTTGGCCGTGACCCCTTGGACGTGTCCGCACGGCCGCGCGACTTTGCGACCACGTGGCGGCCAGTGGGGACACTGGGGAGGGGGGTTCGGGATTTGGAAAGCGCTATGGGGTAGCGCAACCCCAGCCCCATCCCCTCAAAAAAAAAAAAAAAAAAAAAAAAAAA